AATTCATAGAGCTTAAAAAATAAATCAATATATTGTAGATATTGATAAATCACCCACCCCTACATGGAAGCTAACAGCTAAGGCAAGTAGCACGTTACGAATTGTACTAGAATCTTCATAATTTAATCTCCAGCAGAGGGTAATAATCAATTTTATTTTTTGCTAGTCGAGACTCTTAAAACACAATAATAAAGGAATATTAAAGTTTGGGGTTGGCGCCGTGCCTTTAATTGGGGATGTGGTAAGATCCATGCCATTTCGGCTACATGTACCTTACGATATAAATATGATACGATATAACAATTTACGATATAAAAACCTGCGGCTTTTATTCAACTGAATATATTGAAGTTTTGTTTTTCGCTATTTAGTTGGTACCGCAAATACACACGTACGCTCAAACCCTCCAGAAGAAAAGTAACAATCCAGTCCAGCAACAGTCACTGCCTCTGTCCTGGCCCGGACTGGCCATCGGGAGCATCGGGGGATCTCCCGGTGGCCTGCGTGTCAAAGTGGCCTGGGCCTGCCCTATCATCACGGTCTTTTTTTTTTTTTTCTTTTAATTTAATTTCATCCTCACGGTCTTTGCAAACTCCTACCCTGCCTGGTGGCCTGGTCCAATGAGCAAGGCCCAGGCCAAAGCCAGTGTTGTGCGTGAACGATTTCAAAAGAACGCGTTCATTGAACATGCTCATTTTTTCGTGAACGTTGAACTGAACGCAACACATTTTTTAATAAAGAACTTGAACGTGAATTAGTTCATATTATGTGTCATGAACGGCAGACAATTTGTTTTCCATTTAAAACTAAGTGAAATCTGTTTTCTCTTTTGAAACGCAACGAGAGAAAGTTCTTCCCTCCTGTATTCTCCGCACTGTTTCCGCCGAAAACTAAAAATTCCTACGGTTTCCACCGTCTGTGAACGCACCCCGACTCAGTGTACTTGCGGTGCGGCGCTATATGCTAGTGCTATTCATTGGTTGTTGGACTCACATGTGCCGTGATGAAAACACAGGGGTAAGTCAGTGACACAGGGCCGTTTACATTTGACATAAAGTATAGACACACGTTCTGCAGCGCATTACAGTTTGTACTTATGAGCAGAGATGGGACAACTCAGTTCCCATTGAAACCCATGTAAATCTTGTCTGCATTGGAGTCAAAACATCCTGTGCAGTGTACAGGATATAATATATAATTTTATATATATATATATATATATATATATTAGGGTGTTTCTTATTTTTGAAGATTCGATTTTTGCATGGGCCACCTTGCCATTTGGTTCATTATCACAAAAAAGTAATACCCTATTTTTTATTTTTTTTAGAATGATTTTTAGGGGTCGCTACCGACCCTACAGTATCATGTGCATGTGCTTTGATACTACTGCAGCCAATACTGGGCCAAGAAATGGGGCTTGCATTCTTCTAGAGCAGAAGTTTGGGAAAGATATGTTGTGGTTGGCATGTCGTCATCACATTCTGGAAATTATTTTGGAAGCAGTAGTTTTGCTGTGTCTCGGCCCTTCAAGTGGACCTGACATACCACTCTTTAAACAATTTCAGAAAAGTTGGGTCTCAATTGATTCTACAAAGTACCACACAGCACAGTCTGATAAGAACGCTTCAAATGCTCTTACCGATATCACTGATGAAAGAATCGTCTTTTGCAAAGATCAACTACAAATCTTTCAACCTCGTGACGACTACCGAGAACTTTTGGAGTTGTCTATTGTTTTTTTGGGAGGAGTACCTTTGAGGGGCATTTCATTTAGAGCTCCTGCCGGTCTACACCGTGCTCGCTGGATGGCGAAAGCTATTTATGCGTTGAAGATTTGGATGTTTAGAGACCAATTCAGGTTGACAATAAGAGAGCGAATGGGAACATGATGATGAGTTCCAGACTATAAAGTCCACTGTTCGAAGCATGAAGGTTGTCAACGACATTGCAGAACGTGGCGTAGCACTAATGGACGAATATAATAGACTACATACAGTACAAACAACAAAGAGCAAAAGCAGTTCCTGTTGTTGGTAGTTCACAAATATAGACAGAAATATCCTGACAGAAAAAAGACAACTCTCATGAGCGATTAATCTTAGTACAGTAACTATTGTCTTAAATAAACCTACAATCAAAGTAAAAAAGCATGTTAATTCTGTCTTTTAATAAATAAGTAGAAATGCAATGACAGAAAATGGATGTTTTTAATGCATGTAACAAGTAAATAAATGTGTACCAAGTAAATGAGTCATTATCACCAGTCTCCATCAGTTTTATGATTTTTTTTCCTATGTTAATGACTACGAGCGCATAGTAAAATATGCCTTAAATTTCAATGACTGGTAGCACCCAGTAAAAATGTTTTTTTCCCCTTGAAATTTTTACACATTTATTTTCTCACCAAAATGAACCATTTCAGTGGGTGGCCCACTGAAAAACAAATTTCTTTTTTTTAAACCCAAATAAGAAGCACCCTAATATATATATATATATATATATATATATATATACATATATATATATATATATATATATATATATATATATATATATATACCACGTATTGTGATTTCTAGCTCGTAGTGAAAAAAAAATATTTATTTGAATATCTCGCAAAAAGTAAAATGAACTGAACTTTGAACTAGTTCAGAACTAAAATTGAGAACTTCGAACGTGAACTGTTCACTTTGAGCATGTATGAACTGAACTTGAACTAGTTCAGAAAAGCTGTGAACTGGCACAACACTGGCCAAAGCTTTACTGTCATTGGGCCAGAGCAAAATTAAACAAATGTGACGTCACACGTCGGCTACACAGCCAGGCCAGCCTAGCAGTGCACCCAGTGTAGCTTCCCCGGTTGAAATGAGTGGTCTCTCCAACTGATGGTTCATACACGTTTTTATTTTTCCTTTTATATGAGCTGTAACGATGTGATTTTACCTTACTACTTTTTTAACAATAATTGATTAGCTTGTTATAGTTATACACTAATGAACACTTAGTTCATTGTGTGTGTGTGTGTGTGTGTCTTTATTCTCACTAAACTCCATAAACGTTACGTTGCTAAGCAACGTACAACAATCCTTAAACGTCCGAGATTATATAAACAGTCAATATAAAAAAAAAATAAAGAAAACAAAAGTTTTGACAGTCAATCTTAAAACTATTAAAAGAACATCAAAATACAATGACAAAAACCCAAATTTAGAACCTTGTTTGGCCTGAATGGATGAAAAGCTCCCGGCCTGAAATGTTGTCCCACTCCGGCCCTGCCTCTGTCTGATGTCTCCGGTCTCTTTTATTACAATGGAAACAAACTTAGTCTCCCATCATCATGCCACCTTATCATTAGCATCTCTTACATTTCCATTGCGCTCACTAGAAATAGAAAGGACAAAAAACACGAGTTCCTCAAAAACTAAAAACAGAATCGTCGCCATCAAAGTGACGCATAATTACTATCATTACAACACATGTATTCGATGCAAAGCGTTCCCCCGATTTGGTTCCTCGGCGCGCTCCTCTTTGTCAGTAAAATGAGATTCAAAATGTTTACTTTCTCTTTCTTCTTGTTTGCGGAAACAAAAGTGTCTAAAAGATATCCGGGACTTGCTTTCATCTTGCAGAAGTCTTTGAAAGCAGGGATCGATGGTGACCTGTCTCACCTCCAGATGCTGAATAAATCATGTTTTCCTCAGGCCAGTAATATAACAAGCACCAGAAAGATAGATTAACCACTGCTTTCATGTCTTCAATCACCTTCTCCCCAACTTCACCGGATTTCAAGGAATAAAGGCGTTTTTCGGCTTTGATATCACGTCATCAAATATTTTCTACACGTCAGATATTGATATAGATATAGTTTGTGTGTCGGCTTACAAGTATACCCTCTTACAAATAAATGTGGTATTCGTTAGAAGACATAAGCATTTGTTTTGACTATTATTCATTGTTTATCATTATTATTTACAGTGTTGAGTTAGGTGTTGAGTTAGGTTTTGACAGTCTAATTCCATCCTTGGTTTTCAGACGCATGTATTTTTGGCCTCTGTCACATCTCTGGTTCATCTTTTTCAGACAGAAAAGAGACAAAGAGAGGACCACCCTATCACGTGCCAGAGAGTCCAGGGTGGTAGGACGTAACGTTGTGAAAAAAACGGGTGTGGAATGATGTAAAAGATGAAGGTGAGAGATCGTAGACTATGCGTAAAAAAAAAATCCAATCAGCTCTCAACCCAAAGTATCAAATAGTGACTCACGTGTCTCTTTCTTACAAGCGTGCAAAAGAAAAAAGTTTTCTGATATTATGCGGAAAAAAATGGACGGTTGGATGCATGTAGACAGTGGTGAAGATGTTGTGGTCTGATTTGTTCACAACTTATAACTCATAACTTGTATAACTTTACAAATCCGGCTGTAGGAGTGTCCATCAAAGGTAACAGGCAAGAAGACCTACAAACCTGACCCCGTTTCATCATTTCTGTCAAGAGGAATGGGCCAAAATTCTACTGAGAAAATTAATTTAAGCCTAAATCATCAACATTCATCAACACATAAAAGCTTGGTTTCAAAGAAGATAAACTTGAATGATCTCACAATGGAGACATTTAGATTATGTCACTTATCATGTACTGGGTCTATATTATATTTTTAGAGAAATAAATTAACTTCTGGTTTTCAAATGTTCTAAGTTTCCCACTGTATAATCCCCAGGCAGACTGGAGCCTGTATATCCATATAAGTCACTGTGGCTGGTATCTGTACATCTCTTTGAATAATTATCAGATATTGCTAAAGCGTCACTGATGACTACCTACAGTATATAATGTCTCATGTATATGTGACACACTGTATATGATAACACAGTATGGCCTGAGACCCATAATTCTTAAATGTAAATTCTTCTCTATTGAAGTATTTTTTTGACTGCACACATGACAAATTAAACACATATATTATTGTGTATTTGCACATTTCGCTGCGGCCACACTCACCCAGGATCTGAGAGGAGGACTCGTGCTCTTGAAGGACCACGTGTCTGGCTCCGGGGGGAATGTCAAACATCTTAAGCACACCTTTTGCCAAGTTTGCAGCAGCGGCAGGAGCGTGAGAGAGGGTTAGAGGAGATAAGACAGAAGCCGGTTAAGCACGTACACGCTACAAAAGTGTTTGCAGAGCTGGACATCTCACAGATTCTCTTTACTTTGCTCCCAAAAAGGTCAAAAAGAAGAAATCCTAACTTGTAAGTGGAGTTTCTAAGCCTACAGGACGTGGTGAGGTTGAAACCTGTTCACTGCAGAAAATGCTTATGAAAAATAAGATTGAAGTTGAGAAGTGATTGGAATAAGTCATTTTTTGCTATTGCTATTACTGAATTACATGCTGTTCCATTGCTAAATCTTGTTAAAATCATTTAAAGTTTTTGTCTCAAATGTGAAACTTTTATTTCGTCATTTTCTTCAGTGTCGCAGCCTTTTTTTTTTCATTCGCACCCAGATAACACACTTTCCCCTAGCTATTTTTCCCGGAACATCAAAACAGACATCCTAACGGTGTACAACTATCTGGGATTGAATGAAAAACAGCCAGTGGCCAGTTTCAAAACGGGGGAAAAAATGGTTACAAAATGGTCACAAAGTGCTCGTGCGATCTTGGATGTCCAGCCCTCGCAAACCACTCACCCAGCACATTTCGAGAGTCTTCAGTTTCATTTAAAAACACATTTCGAGCTCCTTTAGGCAAGAAAAAGGCTCCTCTGATCTTCCCTTGAAAACAAAAATACATTGGTTAGCATCTTAACATTAGCTCTCACAGAAATCTCACATCACAAGAACTCCCAGAGGCGACATTTTGTCTACTCCCACTTAAATCAATGGTATTCTGAAAAAAAATAAAAATGCTTTGTTTTCCACAATTTTTGATAATGGGGATTTACGTTTACTGACAAATATTAAAACTGGTTAATGTAACTTGAAACAAAGAAAAAAAAAAAAAAACAGTTTGTTGAAAGGCTAATGCTAAAGACCAAATGCTAACTAACTGCTACAGCGTGTTGCTATGGTAACAATCACTGGCTCTTTCGTGGTGGAAATGGATTCTTCTTGGAGGTAAAGGTAGAATGATACTTTCGTAGGAATAATGACATACAAATAAACAACATATAGACAAAACTAAAAACCACCCGGGAGTTCTCATGTAAAAAAAATAATTTAAAAAAGTCTCGTCACCTCTAACAAGACAGGGCGATTTTAATTGGTGTCATAGGAACAAGAGTAATCAGGGACAAACATGGGCAGTCTTTCTAATTAAGGATTCACTATAGGAGAAAGAGAAAATGGTTGTATTTGTGCTTGACAGGCAGGCTCAACTCATGGCCTCCCGGAGCAGATGCGAATAGCCACTCATTACACACACCTCTGTGCCGCTCACGGTTATTGTCAGGTCGCAACAGGGAGCAGGACAAAGGCACAAAGACATTCTCTATTTTGGATAATTGCGCAAAAAAAAAGAAAGAAAGGAAGTTTGTCTAAAAGCAGGTGAAGGTAGGTGCGCACTCGTGACAGTCGGGGGTAAGGCTGTGGACAAAAGAAAGCATTCGATAGGAATGGTCACTTAGTACTGATATGTTCTGATTGATAGTGAATATTATTGAAGCAATGGTTACCAAGAACCTCTGTTGGTCGTGGTTAGGTTGCTAGGATACGGAAACAGATACTAAAAGCGTAATGGAAACACAATCAGAGCCGAGTTGAGTGGAGTTGGGCCAAGTAGGGCTGGTGGAACCAAGGTTTTGGAAGGCATTTGAGACACCTCTTTGCTTGTGTAATTTATGATGCGTTAAAACATCTTGATTTTGCAGGTAATAATTAAATAACATTTGTATTTGAAGGAAAAATGAAACGGCAAAGTTTGTCTATGTTTTTGACCCCACCCAAAGTAGTGAAACATTGATTGAACTGATACATTTCACATACTTTTATCACATATTAGTGTCTAGCTGTCCAATCAAACTCCATCCATGAAATTGCCAGCTTGGGGCAGAGATCAAGACTAGTCTTTGTAAATTACTAGACATTTCAGATCTATGCAGCTTGAATATGGAACAGTCTTTCTGAGGTTTTGAGACGGGACTTCTATCCTGACCATGTTTAAAACTAGGTTCAATCTATGTTTGTATGAAAGATCTGTTCAGGGATCTGAGGGATCAATAAAGTAAATATCTATCTATCTATTAATCTATCTATCCATACCACAACTGATTAGCTGTGCATACAATTGATTCTATTTTGTACTATTCAACTCTTTTTTGAAGTCTTAAAACTCTAACTCCATTTTAGAGCAAGTTTTAAGCCTGAAATTCTTGTATAATGTTGTATTGCCTGATAGAGCTGTGTGACGGCCCCAGTCTCGTAGGGTTTGTGTGTTGCTGCTGGCTTTCTCCTCCTTCCAGGATCCAGCCAATGGGACTGGCAGCACCTGGAGATGGGTGACATCTGCTTTGTACGCACTTAGATCTGTGTTTTAATTGCTCTTAAATTGCCTTGTACTCAAACTGGGCTTTACAAATGTCACTGATTGATATTATTGCAAGTATTTTGTGAGTGTGTGTGTGTGTGTGTGTGTTGTCTGTTTATCTTTACATTGGTGGGAGGAATGCCTTAATTTTCGATCACTGTTGTAAATATATGTTATAGGGTTTCCATTGTATTCATTCTGTATGTGTTGCACTGTAGAGAAAAGCTCAACCAGGAACAGGAGTTAAAAAACTAGCATTTGCTACAAACTCTGTATGTGTTGCACCAGTTGCATCTTTCTTGCTGTTACTATGCAAGACTACATTGTCCCTGTCAAATGAATAAATACATAAATAAATAAGTAAAATATAGAAATACAAGCCTGTTGTTATTGCAATGGCTGTTAAAGTGAAGTACTGCTGCTTTTAAACACGGATTCAATATTCTGCAGAGTTCCTCGTGCGTACATGCAGAGTTAGCAGATGTTTACACCAGGACACAGTGTGACGTGCGTAAAGAGATTACTCAGCTCGATAATTGCCTTGCAGCGGCGGCCTTTTCCTGATCGACATGACTTTCCACGTCAAGTTTGTGATTTTTCAAAAGACTACTTAACTTAACTACTAAAGGAGCAATTTGGTCTTACGCTCTGCCACAGCTCCGCAATCTGGCTCCAGACAAAAGGGGTAATAACTGCATCTTATCAAACGACAATTTTGATTGACTTCGGATACATTTTTAAGACATGAAACCCTCTGATTTCTGACAAATTATTGCATTGATTTTCATTGGTGGATGTGGATAAAACTCAAAAGAACTGTTCATGTTTTGAAATCAAATGTAGCATAATATGGGTTGTTGCTATGAATCAATTCCAAAACATTAGTCTCTCACCATTCATATTATTCTCTCATTATTTTGTATTTTCCCTTTGACGCTGACTATAGCTTAAACTGCAGGTGTGTTTGACACATACTCCACTGTATTGCTCTCTCTAACCACAATTTCTCTGAGTTATAATCCGTGCGACATTCAAAGCAATTAGCACAAATATTGATTCAGATGCAGCGACTGATGTAAAAGTAAAGACAGTTCACAAAAGATAGATTACACTTCTGTCTTGTTAGTGCACTGTGATTATAAATGGACAATCATTTCATATGGAAAATACTCTGAGTTATGTGATTTATAACAGCGGTAATCTGCTGACTGATCCTGAATTTGGTCCCTCGTCAGAGAAATTGCCACAAAATTTCAGACTGTCGTACTTTGTCTGTGGCTCAGAAAATAGACTTTAAAACAAGTCTCTCCATGGCCTCGCACCAAAGCACATCAGTGACATGTTAGTGCCAGATGAACCAACTCAGGGGACTGGCCTCCTGCTGGTGCCCAGGGTTAGGACTAACCATGGAGAGGCAGCGTTTTTAGATTTATGTAGCTAAAATCTGTCTTTTTGAAAATGTGAGACAGGCATAAACTCTAACAATGTCCCAATTCAGGTTGAAAACAGTTTAACAAAACATTCAACTGGAGGATTTTAACTTTTTCATGTACTGTGATTCTATTTGATTGGATTTCATTTCTTGTCTTAAGCCCTTTATCGTGCCTTGTAAATTGTATTTGTTACTTTTGTACAATTAAAGGAGCTCTACAGCACTGATATGACTCTATGATGTGGATTTATCGGTTAAAGACAACATATTTGCTCAGTATGCCTCTGACAGTTAGGATATCAAGTTTGAGAATTAGATATATTGTATAAAGTAGAAAATATATGGATATATTTGTAATATATAAATATGAATTTACATCCATAAATAAGGATGCAGGAGGGTCAGTTGGGCAGTTAGTGTCCAACTAGAAGGACTGTGGTGATGATCCAGGACACTTTAACATTCTACAACATGTATGGACATTTTTCAACATGTGTTCTATATTCTTTATGTGTCTTAACTGTGGATTCTCTGATCTGTGTTGGTGATTTCTATGGTTTTGTTAAGTCTCTGAGATGACTTCTGTTGTGATTCAGGGCTGTACAAGAATAAATTGTATTGTATATAAAATGCTTTTAGGTTGGATCTCTATGAAGGAGTTAAACCCTTACGTGCTTCAGTTACAGCACAATACATTATTTCACTGGAGAAAACGGCCAAAACAAATTCAGAGACTATACTTTCCAACAGAAGGATTAGGGGGACAAAGTTGCGACAGAAGTTTCTAACATCGGCATGGATGGAGCCAAAACACAACCGCAGATTTGTTTTTGATGAGGAACTATATTATACCATGGTTAAGAGCAAAACAAATTAAACAACTGGTGTTACTGTGAGGCATAGACGCACGCACAAGGCTGACATTACGTGTGATCTTCATCGTTTGCAGATTTGTCAGATTGAACAATAGATAATTAGCAGAGGTCTTCAGATTGAGTCTATAAAACGTGATTTTACTTCAGCTTTCTTCAGGTTCACAGCCTTAAAACCCCGTACAGAGCATAGGGTTTTCCATAACAAACCTTGAGATAGTTTGTTAGAAAACTTTGTGACACTTGACGAGCTACTGAACCGGTGTAGTCTGACCTAAATAAATAGCCTTCTAATTAGTAAGACAAAGAAACAGCGGTTGGCATCACTCATGTGTCTATAGGCGTCTACAGCGGTCTACAAGCCGGCAGCTGCCCACAGAGAGCTAGGAGACACTAAAGGCGCGTTCACGCTTGTTGGTCTGGACCACGTCTGGTTCAATTGGTACGAAAATATTTCCTCGAAGAGCCTTCATTCTTTATTTGTTTGAAAGTTGTATCGTACTTTATATGTCGCTGCTACATACTGTACCGTAACTTTGTATTGCACCTTATACTACATCAGTAATTTGTATAATCTCAATTTGCTGCTAAATGATATATGGTATTTTGTACTTTGTGACTTGTGACTGTAACTACGTTGGCAACTTGCACTTTTTTAACTGTATTTTAATATGTATGTTGATTGTATTGTACATTGTCTTTAATAAACTAAACTCAAAAGTCTTAATATATGCAACTTAAATGACTGACCATATGACAGTAGTATCATCTAAACCAGGGTGTTAAACTGGTTTCAGAAAGGGCAGGTGTGAATGCCGGTTTTTGCTCCAACCAAGCATGAGCACACAAGACTCCACCCATTTCCTAAAGTCTCCAAGTTAAGGTTATGGACTCACTTAAGGATATGGGTTGAGACAAAAAGTTGATATTTTTTGTCGTGACCCAG